CAGTTCGTAGGACACCGCGGTGGAGATGGAGCGCGGTGGGTGTTTGCACCACGGGCCCCGGCCCCGCTGCTTTGTCACCGGCGTGCCCTTGCCGAGGGGTGTCCGGTACCGTGGGCAGAACCGGTGTCACCACAGCAGGTTCTCGCGGTGTTGGTTGAGCTCCTTGGCGTTCCGCTGCCGTTTCCACATCCCCCCGTGTTTTTCTTTCCTTCAAGGTGAACTTCACAGTAGATCAGATACGGGCCATCATGGACAAAAAGGCCAACATCCGAAACATGTCGGTGATCGCCCACGTCGACCACGGCAAGTCCACCCTGACCGACTCCCTGGTGTGCAAGGCGGGGATCATCGCCTCGGCCCGCGCCGGGGAGACCCGCTTCACCGACACCAGGAAGGACGAGCAGGAGCGGTGCATCACCATCAAATCCACGTGAGTCCCCTCCACCCCTCCCTCCCTCCGTCCCCCTCGCTGCCTGGGCTTGGAGTCCTTCGTAGGACAGCGTTGGGTTTTTGGTCTCGTTCAGAAGCTTGTCCTTTGTTGGGAGGGTTGTTGAAATGAAGGAGCGAATGTTGATGGGGTTCTGGTGGATCAGCCTTGTGGTCTCTGGGTGCACAGGGGGAGCTTCAGTGTTTTGTTTTAGTTTGGGAGCTGTTGTAGTGAGGAGATCTTTGTGGGAGTACCTGCTGATGCACCTGCTGGCACCGTGGGCAGCTTCAGAACCCTGAGGGATGTGAAAAGGGATGAAAAAAGAAATCACCCTGGTAGAAAAAGTTGTAAATCCTTGACTGATAGAAATGGATCCTTCTTTGGGTGCCTCAACTCATGTGGAGTCAGGAGAGGTGGTGATTTGGGAGGGGGCTGTGATTTTTGGAAGGACGTAGGAAGGGCAGGTTTTAGCCTCTGCTCCTGGTTCTCTCCCACCCTGGCCTCCCAGGAATACACTTGAGGAAATTCTTAAGCCCTGTTGCAGCTTCTGCACGGGGTAGAAGCCTGTTCCTAAGCACTAGCGAGGGGTAATGTGCAGAGAAGAATTTTAATAAGTTTTCTTTCATTTCAGAGCTATTTCCCTATTTTATGAGCTCTCTGAAAACGATCTGGCCTTCATCAAGCAGAGCAAGGATGGTTCTGGTTTCTTAATCAACCTGATTGACTCTCCTGGGCATGTGGACTTCTCTTCTGAGGTGACTGCTGCTCTCCGTGTCACCGACGGTGCCCTGGTCGTCGTGGACTGTGTCTCAGGTAAGATTTTCTCCAGCCACCCTCCACCAGGGCGTGTGTTGGGCCAGTTGGAAGGCACCAGTAACAAATTCCTGCCTGTTTGGCAGGCGTGTGCGTGCAGACAGAGACTGTGCTGCGTCAGGCCATTGCTGAGAGGATCAAGCCTGTCCTGATGATGAACAAGATGGACCGAGCGCTGCTGGAGCTGCAGCTGGAGCCTGAGGAGCTCTACCAGACCTTCCAGCGCATCGTGGAGAACGTCAACGTCATCATCTCCACGTATGGGGAGGGGGAAAGCGGCCCCATGGGCAATATCATGGTAAGTGGGAGGCTGCAGGTGCTGTGTTGGGAATAATTTGCCTTCAGTGAGAGGGAGCAGTTGTCTCCTTGGTCTGGGAAGTGGAGAAGGGAGAGCAGAGTAGCAGAAGATGCCCGTACCACCAGCATCTGCACTGATCTGGAGCTCTCCCCAGCTTCCCTCAAATCCTCTGTTGGCTCAGGACTTGAACAAATGAAGACTATAAATAGAAGAAAGTATTTTCTCCCTTTACTAAGGGCACCCTTGTTCTGTAGGACGTGTTCTGGCCCACATCACATCTGTGATGTCGGAGGCTCCTCTGCAGTGTCCCTCCCTCGTTGTCTCCTGAAATGGAAGGCTGGGGGAGGTGTTTGCCAGGCCCTGCTCCCTGTGGGGTTCCTGGGGAGTGAGCACACTGTCAGTTCTGAGGAAAGCCTTGTGCTTTGTCCTCACTGAGCCCTCCTGCATGCTGCAGGCCTTCACCTCCTCCCTGTGAAGGGCAGGAATCTTTTCTGCACCCAGACCTGGGCGGCTGGTCCAAGCAATTTAAAATGGCTTCGGATTTGTGATGCAAAGCTAAAATGATGGGGGTGTGGCCAGGCTGCCCCATGACCTTGGAGGTGGCCACTGTCACAGAACTGCTGGAGGGCCCTGAAGCCCCATCCTTGCCCAGCTGGGTGTTTGGGACGGGGCAGGTGGGTGCTGTGCAGCAGGAGCTGTGGCTCTGCTGTGCCCCAGCTGTGGTGTTCCCTCGCAGATCGACCCGGTGCTGGGCACGGTGGGGTTTGGCTCAGGCCTGCATGGCTGGGCCTTCACCCTGAAGCAGTTTGCTGAAATGTACGTCGCCAAGTTTGCTGCCAAGGGGGATGCCCAGCTGAACCCCTCCGAGAGAGCCAAGAAGGTAGAGGACATGATGAAGAAGCTGTGGGGAGACAGGTGAGTAGTTGTGGCTGTTGGTTTGCATTCCGGGTCAGCTCAAGGACTGTTTGCTGTGAAATCTTGGCAGAATGCTGGTAAAGGGGGAGGGGATGGAGGGTTTGCAATGGGAGCTCTGGAAGCCTGTGGAGTGGTGGGGGAAGGTCTGAAGATGCTTCTTGGCAGCAGCTCTTTCATCTGGTCTGAACCACACACCTATCACCCAACTGAGCATTGATGTTTGTTGGGCTTGATCCTTTCTTCAGGTACTTTGATCCTGCTACTGGCAAGTTCAGCAAATCTGCCACCAGCCCTGATGGAAAGAAACTGCCCAGGACCTTCTGCCAGCTCATCCTTGACCCCATCTTCAAGGTGAGTCCCTTTGTGTCCAGCCCTGGCTGGTGCCAAATGCTCTGGCTCAGTTACGGTGCGTGATGATGGAAAATTTCTTCACTTTGACCTGACTTGTCTGATTGAAGAAATTTAAATATCTGACACATCTCATCCCTCCGTGCAGGCATGGAGGTGACGGTGCTGGGTGATGACCAAGAGCTGAGATTCTCCTTAGAGATGTTTGTGGGGCTGCTTCAAACTGGGTCACTGAGACATCAGTGTTGATGACTGCTGCTGTTGTTCCAGGTTTTTGATGCGATCATGAACTTCAAGAAAGAGGAGGCAGCTAAACTGATTGAGAAACTGGACATCAAGCTTGACAGTGAAGATAAGGACAAGGAGGGCAAACCCCTGCTGAAGGTGAGGGGGGTCTGCAGTGTCAGATGTGTGAACTGAGCCAGCTACAAACCCTGCTTGAGTGGGAAGGTTCAGTGGAGGTTGGAGGGGAAGCCCGGGGAGGTTCACTGCTGGGTTCTGAGTGATCTGCTCTGTGCTCAGGCCGTGATGAGGCGGTGGCTGCCTGCTGGAGATGCCCTGCTGCAGATGATCACCATCCACCTGCCTTCTCCTGTCACAGCCCAGAAGTACCGCTGCGAGCTGCTCTATGAGGGGCCCCCTGATGATGAGGCTGCCATAGGTAGGATGAGCTGCTGCTTTGCTGCCAGGTGTCACTCCATATCAGTGCTTGATGCTGCAACCCCCTGTAGGCATTTTGCTCTCCAGGTGCACAGCTCAGTGGCTGCTGTCCTCCTTGAGGCTGTTCTCGTGTGGTTTGAGCTTGTGAGCTTTGCACTGGAGAGTAGTTGGGGATTATGCCACAGGCTCAGTCTGAGCCTGTGTTTGGTGAAACATCTCCCAGCAATGTGATCTGTCCCTGTGGTTGGGCTGTCTGGGTGGAAGTCAACAGGTTGGGTGCAGGTCTCGTGTTGGGATTTGGGGTGGTGGGGACAGGCCACATACACCAAATGCTGGAATTGGTGCTGAACTACGTTTACCTCTCTTCCTCCTCCCAGGTATTAAGAACTGTGACCCCAAAGGCCCCCTGATGATGTACATCTCTAAAATGGTGCCAACCTCTGACAAGGGACGTTTCTACGCTTTTGGACGTGTCTTCTCTGGTCTCGTCTCAACTGGCTTGAAAGTCAGAATCATGGGACCAAACTACACACCTGGCAAGAAGGAGGATCTGTACCTGAAGCCAATTCAAAGGTCAGTCCTGGCTGGGGTGTCCTTCAAGGTTCAGATTTGTGGTTCTAGAACCATCTGGGGTCTCTTCTGGTCTTCGAGGCCAGGCAAAGACACTGCCTGGTGGGACCTCTTCTTCAGGCTTACTTAAACCAACTTTCCTTTGTGCCAGGACCATTCTCATGATGGGCCGCTACGTGGAGCCCATTGAGGACGTGCCTTGTGGAAACATTGTGGGTCTGGTCGGCGTTGACCAGTTCCTTGTGAAGACTGGAACCATCACCACCTTCGAGCACGCTCACAACATGAGGGTCATGAAGTTCAGCGTCAGCCCCGTCGTGCGTGTGGCTGTGGAGGCCAAGAACCCAGCTGACCTGCCCAAGCTGGTGGAGGGGCTGAAACGTCTCGCCAAGTCTGACCCCATGGTGCAGGTGAATGTCCAGGACACCTTGGGGAGAGGAGAAATCCTGGCCCTGCTGGCACAGGGGGATTCTGCTGTTAGATGGGGTTGTCGTGGCAGTGCTGGCAGAAAAG